GCAGGCCCGGCCCGACCCTCAGGCGGCTGCCCGGCTGCAGCATGAACGTCCGCCGGGGGTTGCGGCTGCCGCGCCGCTCGCTGCTGGCCGCGCTCTTCTTCTTCTCGCTCTCCTCTTCGCTGCTCTACTTCGTCTATGTGGCGCCCGGCTTAGGTAGGAAGCGGATCCGGGGCGCAGCCCCCGCCCAGCCGCGAGGGGACGCCACACACCTCGCCGAGCGCGCGACCTCCGCCCCGCGCCCCCGGCGCCTCGCGGGCCCCAGGCGCCTCCTGTCGGACCGGGGGGCCTGCCTTTCCCGCCGCTGCCTCCGTGCACGCCCGGCTTCCCGCCCCCGGGGTCCCTTGCAGCCCCTGCTCCCGGCATTCCCCGCACCCCGAGTCCCCACGGCCCCTCGCGCTGCTGCCGGGTCCCGGGGCGTCCCCACCGCCCCACCATCCATCCTTCCATCATTCCACCGCCGCTCGCTGGGCCGCCTGCCCTCCCTGCTCTCGCTCCACCTCCCCGTTCCATCCTCCGTCTGGTCCTTCCCGCGACACACGCTCCCACCGTGTCCCTTCCCACGAGCCTCCGTGCAGTCTCCCGCACGTCCTGAGGGTCCCTCGCTCCCTCCCCATCTCTCTCCTTGCGCCTCGCCCACCCCCAAGGACACACCCATGTCCCCTCCGCCTCTGCCCCAGCCTCCCCAGCCCTCTCCCAGTTTCCTCTTGATTCCAAGTCCTGGGGAAGAGATGCTGCGTGGCCCCTTTCCTGACTTCCCTTTTTGTGACTTCTGCTCTCTCAGCCCTGAGGATACAATGTATCCAGTGGTGTCTGCTCTGGAGATCGAGAAGTTTAAAGTGTCCCTGGAGTAGGGGATATGACAAGGGAAATGGGGCCAGGTAGGAAGGGAGGGCATGGAGAAAGGATGGGCAGGGGCACTCATTCCGAAGGCATAGCCTTGAAAGGAAGGAGCCACCGGGGAAACGGAACCGCCCCTACAGAGACACTTTTATGGCTTGGAGCAGTTGGTGGGAAATGAACACGTGAAGGTGAAGGTTAAAGGCAGAGGACGTTGAGGTCAGACTTGCATGCAACTCTGCTGTGTGTGATCTTGGGCAAGTTCCTAAGCCTCAACTTTTCTATCTGTAAAACGGGAATACTAATAGCAGTCTTAAGGTTTTGGGTTGGGTTGTTTTGGTTTTTTTTTTAAGGATGGAAATAGATTTCCTTTTTAAAGAGCTTGTCACTCCCTGTGCTCTCAAAAAAGATGGCAGCTGTTGTTACGTGTAACTTTGTAGAAAGAAAGAAGTAGGTGGAAGGTTTCAGGAATGTGTTTGCATGACTCTGCATCGCCATGGGGGTGCCAGGGAAAACCTCACTTTAAGGTGAAAAATGATCAGACATTGCTGTTGGCCTGGGACAGGTGTGTGTGTGTGTGTGATATTCTTGGCTATTTGAATGTTAGGAAAAAGTCCACGATTTAGCTCTAGGAGAATACCAAGAAATATCCTTTATGATTGTAGTAAAGAATGCTGTTCTCTGTTGAACTGTCAGTGCTGAACTAGCTAGAGAGAGAACTTTCCAGATCCAGTAGGAGTTTCTCTGCTGATTTTGGGTTTTAAAATGTATTTCACTCAGTGACCCAATATTGATGTTTTGTGTTCTAAACCAGATCAAGGAAGACAAGAAGAAGCAACTTTAGCCTCCTCTTACAGCTTATAAAATGGACTTAGGAACTCTGGGGGGTTTGATGACTAGATTGGAAAGAAAAAGGATAGGAAGTTTCCCAGAAGAATGGGTGAACAGTTGGTGGACTTGGTTGAGAAAACAGTTCATTAGGATGTTGGGTGTTAAAACCCACCGCCTTGAAGTTGATTCCAACTCCAAATGGTCCTTTAGGGAGGATAGTGAAACTGCCCTGTGTGATTATTTTCAAAAGTGAATCTTTATCTCACTGGACCATGCGTCTTTCTCAGAACAGGCAGTGGAGAACTGCTGACCCTCTATAGTTAGTAGCCATGTGCTTTAACGTTTGCTGCACAACCAAGGCTCCGCTGGTGGATATTAGAGTCCAGGACAAATGAGACGGAAATGAGGGCTTTGGACCTATAGGTAGTCATGGAATTATGTCTTCTTTCCCTCCCTCTCCTTTTGTGAAAAATACAGGTATTTCATGTGTGGATGCTTAATCAGCAATCTGTAAATGGAAAAAAATATATCCTGCTGGGGTAGTAATCACCTCTTTGTTTAGAAAAGATAGAAGCCAGATTCTCCAAATAGATAGAGTATTGTCAGTTAAAATTCTCCACTGTGTGTTTTTAGGCCAGTGGACTTGTGTGAAGTGATGGGCTATTCCTGGATCCACATTCCTATACTACTAGTAACTGAGAAAGATGCAAAAAACTTGATTGAAGAGAAGAAAATTCTTTAAAATCTTTTAAAGGGACTATGGGAACTCTGGTGGTTTAGTGGTAAGAAACTGTGCTGCAATCCCAAGAGCATGTGGTTCGAATCTACCAGCTGCTCATGGAAGGATGGACAGTCTCTGAATTTAATATCTCTGAAAACCTGCTAGGAGGTCAGCTGTGGGTTGATTCCTACTTGATGGTACACAACAACAACAAAGGGACTATAGGTTTAGGATTTAAATTCCGCCAGTGACTCGACGGCATTAAACAACAACAAACAAGTGTAAAAAGGGAACAGTAAAAAAAGTCTGCATTGGGTTTAGGGTTTAGGCAAACGTAGCTTCAGTCAGAAATTTGGCAGTTTCCTCTCCTGCCAACTTAAGTTTTCCAGGGTCCATCTTTGGACAGTGGGATGGCCAATCTTTTGACAATATTAATGAGGTCATCTAAGGGACTAGAATGGAGGGCTGGTAGCACAGGTGGTTATGTGCTCAGCTGATAGGGAAAGATACGCGGTTTGAAGCCACCAGCTCTGCTCCACAGGACCCTTGAGAATCAATTGATTTAGCAAAAGGTTTGAGTTTTCTTCTTTCTTTTTAGAGAAAGAAAATATTTTATATCATTATAAAAACAAACGTTAAATGTATTAGGTGGATACCTCACTGCCATCAAGTTAATTCCAACTTTTTTATTATTAGTATGTGTGTGTGTGTGTGTACTGTCAAATCAGATCTGACCGGTTCAGGGGGAGATTGTCTCCCCTTCAACAGAGCATCATCTGGTGGATTCGAACCTGGCATATCTGGGACTGCAGTGCAGCTTCTTGCCACTAGGTCACCAGAGCTCGCCTGATTCTAGCTTATTAGGCTGAATCGTGAAATTTTTTTGCAGGTCAGAATAGTTATATGTAAATAATTTTGTACCGTTTACTTACATCTATTTCCAAATAATGACACTTGTGTTTTCAGACTTAATGGTCAGACTTGCATTTCCTTCCAGGTTGATTTTTTTTCAAATGTTGGCTTTGGTTTGGTTTATGTTGCGGCCACTTTGGGCTCACAGGCTAAAGAGAAGTCATGACTCCAAAACTATGTTGTAACTATTTTCAGAAATAGGTAGAGTTCAAAATAAGAGAAAAATCATGTTAAAGTGTGTTAAATTGTTTGTGTACGGTATAACCAGTTAAAATTTCAGCCCAGCTATTAATTTAGTATTCTCTGAGATCTAATATATGTAACCCATAATCAAAGAGCATACGGAAACTTTAGACTTGACAGTCACGTGAAAGAGCAGTGTTGGTACCCCTGACTTGGAATATAAGGAAACCTACTAAGTAAGATTGTAGTTTATTTGTAATAAATACAAAGTATTCTTGTTAGCTAGTTTATGTTCCTCTTCCCAACCTAGTTATTTTTTTTTTCTGTTTTCTTCAGACATTAGGATATTTTGTTACTAGTTCAAAAGCAATGTGTACCCATGACTCATGGTTAAAATTTGGGAGTAAGCAAAGATCTAGAGCTACAGGGTGGGACAAAAGTTATCCTGTGGTTGTTTATTATTTTTATATTAGTAATTGTGAAATAGAATCTAGAATGATGAGGCAGTAGGTGGGAGCAGGTGGTGTGTATAAGAAAGGAAATGGAAGGTGCTTGGGCACATTAACATGCATTCATGCCTCCTCGCCAATCCCAGCCCACCATGGTGTTTATTTCATCACTCCTTTCATCTGCAGCATTGACATCCCCCCTGCTCCTTTAAGATTCTGAAGAAAACTTTGAACTCACTTAGGATCCTTTAATTCTTAACAGCAACAACAAACCAAATAATCTGAGTAAGTCTTTTAAAGGATAACAGAATAAACTATTTATAGATTACATATGAAGTGCTGATTCTAAAACATCTTAATACGTTTATGGTGCTGTCATGTGTTAAGGTTGTACAGAGGTGGTTTTGTTTTGAAAATAGTTTCAACAATATCCTTTATTAATCAAGAGTTTTACCACTGAGACAAATTTTTCTCTCATGCTTTGATTATTGAAGAAAGGAAGTACTGAATGATTTTTCACTTTCAGGCCTATTTAGATTAGTCTTTTAATTTTAGTTTTTTTCCCCCCAGATTAAAGGTTTTATTTGTTTTATTAATAAGTCAGTTTCTTAATATGAAAGTGTAGAAACAAAGGAAGAACCCAAGTATGTCCCAGTACTTATCCAGATCTTGGTGACATTTTAAAGTTGATATGGGAGAGTGCCTTGAACTTGATGTGGTAGAATCCTAGCAAACCTAGATAAATATGTGCATCTCCTGTGGGACTCCTTCCAGACTGCTAGACTTCTTGGTTTTTCTCAACTGTCTCCTCTTGGATTTTATTACTGATTTTCATTAGAATCTGTTTAAGGTATGGAATGATTGTGCTTTTGTTTCTTGGCAAGAAAGGTGACCTCACTTATTAGGATGGAGGAGAAAGGGTGAGAGCTGGCCTATTCAGTTTTAGAAAACATTTGATTTTTTTATTTGTGGCTGACTTTTTGGAAGGCAGGAACCAGTAAGTCTAATCCTACTTGAATTAACCAGATGACCTTGAACAAATCACTTGATTTTTCTGATCTTAAACTTACCAAGAGAATAAGCAAAGCTGTTTCAGAAACTACAGCTGTACCTGTCTTCATCAGATTTCCAATGAGATGTTTTTATATAGAGAAAGTTAATAATTCATTTACATTTTATACAAAGATGGAAGTTAGGACATTAGATAAAGTATAGCTACA